GGACATGCTAAGACCATAATACCATCATCAGATAATTTAGCCCATAAAGATTAAAGTGCTAATAATCTTGCTTCAGGATGATTAATTTCTTCTAAAACAAATGCTATGCTTATAAAATCAAAATAATCAAAACTTAATTCTAGTGTATGTGATAAACTTTCATAAAATTTAATATCCTTAATATAATCTTAAGTAACAAATTTTCCTAATTTTCTCATATATAAATTTGGTTCAACACAAACTATGTTTTTAACATCAGGATACAATTTCTTGAAACTCCATGCCCATGTTCCTATACCACTTCCATAATCAAGCATAGATTTTGGATTAAAATTTGGATTTCTTTTTTATATTTCTGTCATTATTTTTTAAGCAACTGCAAAAGATCCAGGAACTTTTCTTAAAAAGTATGATACTGTTAATATTTAATCATAATCTATTGCAGATGCAAAATTATGAAATTCTTCTAATTTTTCTTCAGCACTATTTATTCTATCTACATTTATATCCTTCTTTTATCTTCTTTCAAATATCTTTTCCAATATTTATTATTCACTTGTTCCTTATTTATATAAATGAATAACTTTTTTCTCTGTTAATTTTTATAAATTTTCTGGATTCTCAAATAAATTATTTCTTTTTATAGTTATAGATACTGGTTTCTCAAGTGCATGCAATAATTAATACATTCTCATATATTTATAAGATGCTTCTCTTAATTCATCAGGAGGATATTTTGAAAATACTTTTCTAGCTTTTTTTAATATTTCCTCTGGTAAAGAAAGTGCTGGTTAATGACTACATGCCATCAAAAATTCTTAAGATTTTATGAATTTTTTCTCAAATACTTTTTTTTAATTATTTTCCAAATTTTCTTAATTTTATGTGATATCTACTTATTCCTCTTTCTTCTTTGATTCAATTGATTCATCAGAAATATTTTCATCATCTTTTATTTTAGAATTATTGATTGAGGATGTTCTTAGTTATTTAATTCTCCTGGCAAATGCAAAACTAGCCCTGAATATAATCATATATATAATTTAATTAAATGAATTGTAATCATTATCATATATATTCTTAATTAATTGATGCTTATTTCAAAAAAGTACTACTTTTTATAACTTTTATAAATTAATTTAACTCTCTTATAGAAATCATAATCTTATAGTTGGGTAAAAAGGTAAAATACTTTTAGTTTTAATAAATAAGCTTTAGTTATATAATAATTAAATTTATGAATCCAGAACCTATTACTTATTCATCCTTAATTGTACTTAATATGAGTGCCTTTCCAAACTTATCATTATATTCAAATGGATTCAGTACATAGAATTTTAATTTGAGATCATTTCACCAATTAAGAGGTGACTTAGATCAAGATTATTAGAATTGTGTTTTTAAAATACTCCCTGTTTTAAATTATAAGGCTCAAGATGATCTTTTATGTTAATTTAAAGATTCTAGTTTTAATGATTTAGAAAAATATGAATAAAGTCAAAGAAAACAAAAAATTTAAACTATATTGCTGAATTTAGAGAATGAACTAACCTCAAATATTTCACTTACAAAGAAGTTAGCAGGCACACCTTTAGTTTTTAGTTCATCAATATTTCATTTAGTTCATGTTTCTTCATTGAAATTTTTAGCATTTGATGATCAAAATTTGGAAGCACTATAATTTAAATTGATTGACTTTCCCAATAATAATACATTATTAAAATTTAATCCTTGTTTGAATTTTCAAAAATTAAGAACAAATTAGGTATACAGTGGAGATGTAGTTTGTATATCTGCAAATAAATAAGTATGTAATAGAACAGCAAATCTATTTACTGATTATTGGGGATTAAATTATTATGAATTACAAGATGAACCATAGAAATATGAGGATGAAGTATGTAGAGCAAAAGTTATAGCATCTGTTGAAGATTAAACTTAATGGAGAATTAAAATATTTTAGAATCAATAAGATAATGATGAAGCCTTATTCGTAGGTGATGTGGCCATATTTCATTTACCAGAACTGAATGTAACAAAGTTATAATCGATAGTTATATTTAAATGCAAAGAAAACCTAAGACATCCAAGAAAAAGTCAAAGAAATTTTAGACCGTAATACTGTAGATGATATAAGTAATATGATTTAAGATAAATTCCTATATACTAAATAGTAGACTTTTTTTCCAGGGTAATAGCCAGCTATTTCAAGGTAAGTAAGTGAAGAAGTAGGAAAAAATGAATCAAAAAACTATAAATCCGATTCATAAAATAGTCATATTTATGAGAAGTAGAGATCAATGTAATCTCGTTCATCTCAAGTTATTTAGGCATCTAAAAACATAAGAGAAATTGATAAGGCTCTTTATTCAGAACTTAAGTTATATTTTAGTAATTTTATTGGTAACAAATCTGATAAAATTACTATTCCTTTTAGTGCTTATTGGAGAATAGAATCAGATAATTTTACTGGAGGAGAGGTTAAATGGGATAAGTGTTATCGTATTAGACATTTTTAAACTGGTTAATATTTAGATGTCAATATAATGAGGTAAGTAAAACTTACAGAATAAGTAACAAAAAATACATTATTTTAATTTGTGCCTATTAAGAAAAATTCTAAATTTGTTGACAAAGAATCTTATTTTTTAATTAAACATTTTTTGACTGGAAGCTATTTAAATTTAAGAAATGAACCTGATATTCCTTATGGATCTGTATGTATAACTTAAGATATCAATTTAATTAATTGCATTAAGTTTAGAAAAACTGATTATGAGGATATTTGGGAAAAGAGATTTTTAGTATTCTTAGTACCTATTTTAAAGGAGGCTATCTCTTATTTTGAAATAGT